AATGGCGTGCAACACGTTAATATCTCCAGAGTATCCCTTTCTCTTTTACCATATATTTATACATATTTTTTGTATTTACTACTTCTGCTACTTCTTAACTTACTTGACAAAACGTAAAATATGCTGATGTCAGCCAGAACTATTCAGGGGCAAAGCAGAAACTCAAATTCAGAAGAAGTTAATTTTATTATAAGAACGGGGGGAAAAAGCAAAGTTTAAAATTGACTAGGAGTTAGGCCTTCTGATGCAGAATGACCAACACAGCTGATGACATCTAGGCTGATAAAAATTTCGGGTCAGTCAAGTGTTTGATAAGTGTATTTAAAGGACCACTATAGTGCCAGGAAAACATACTCGTTTTCCTGGCACTATAGTGCCCTGAGGGTGCCCCCACCCTCAGGGACCCCCTCTCGCCCGGCTCTGGAAAGGGGAAAGGGGTTAAAACTTACCTTTTTCCAGCGCTGGGCGGGGAGCTCTCTGCCTTCTCTCCTCCTCCGATCCTCCTCCTGGGCTGAATGCGCACGCGCGGCAAGAGCTGCGCGCGCATTCAGCCCGTCGCATAGGAAAGCATTTACAATGCTTTCCTATGGACGCTTGCGTGCTCTCACTGTGAAAAATCACAGTGAGAAGCACGCAAGCGCCTCTAGTGGCTGTCAATGAGACAGCCACTAGAGGATTAGGGGGAAGGCTTAACCCATTCATAAACATAGCAGTTTCTCTGAAACTGCTATGTTTATAAAAAAAATGGGTTAACCCTAGAAGGACCAGGCACCCACACCACTTCATTAAGCTGAAGTGGTCTGGGTGCCTAGAGTGGTCCTTTAATATATTAAAAATTTTATTATTTTTAGCAGACATGAAATCTCATTATTTGGATTTTCACTCTGAATACATTACTTCCAAATCATTTACATTAGTTAGAGTTGTCACAATAATGGGGGCTGGCCCACTGCCCCACTTTTAGACTCTATTATCCCACTTCCGAGTGGCTGCTTCAAGTGGACCTGACACTGTTTACAGGTGGGATTCACACTTTTTTGGGGAGAGACCAGCCCTTATGACACCACCAGTGAAGCGTATGATATGCTCAATGATGCATGTTGTGGCATCCAGCAGGTATGGCCAGTGTATGGGACCCAACACTTTGGTGGGCTCTGCTATAAAGCCTACCACCACAAGCAGGGCCGGCTTCAGGTGTACAGCCACTATGGTTGTAAGGGGCCCAGGCTACCCAGGGGGCTCGGCAGGCCCGGGCCCTATATTTCTAATGTGTACATATATATAGCGAGTATTGCTATATACATGTACACATGTGGTCCCCATGAGCCACTTATGTCTAGAATAGTGAAGAGGGATTCAGTAGACTCAAATTTCCCCCTCCAGCAGGTCCTCTACTATGTTCAAGAGCTCTGGCTGTCAGAGTGGTGCATCAGGTTACCTGATGCAGCACACATCCTGTGCTCACAAGAGAAGGAGAGGACCTGCAGGATTGGGAAATTGGAGTCTCCTTCCTGAGCGCCCTCTTCACTATCCTAGACAGCTAGCTTGACTATCTCACCAGACCACCAGGGTATCTAATGTCCCCCCTCCCCTGCCACAGGTAATAAGAAAACATAAGAACATAAGAAAAAAAAATGCTCACTCCCCAAAATATACAGCCCCTATCTCTACTACCCCACAAAGATAAACACACACACAGCATCCATTATACTCACGGCATCCACCATATTCAAGGAATTCAAAATACACACACACACGATATCCACTATACATGGTATCCACTTTACATCCATTATACTCATGGCATCCACTGTACACACACAGAATTCATAATACACACGACATCCACTGTACACACACAGAATTCATAATACACACGACATCCATTGTACACACACAACATCCACTATACACACACAGAATTCATAATACACACAACATCCACTATACACACACAGAATTCATAATACACACGACATCCACTGTACACACACAGAATTCATAATACACACACAACATCCACTATACACACAGAATTCATAATACACAGAACATCCACTATACACACATGGAATTCATAATATACGACATCCGCTGTACACACACACTGAATTCATAATATACGACATCCACTATACACATATGGAATTCATAATACACACACTACATGCACTATACACACACTGAATTCATAATACACTACATGCACTATACACACACTGAATTCATGATACACACACACACAACATCCACTATACACACAAAGCATCCACTATACTCACGCCATCCACTATATACACACGAAATTCAAAATACACACACACGACATTCACTATACGCACGATGCATCCGCTACAAATACATACTCTTTTCCACTAGACACACAAACTGCATCCTTGTGAGTGGACTTGTGTGTGTGTCCGGTGGACGGACTCCATGGCAGGCCTTGAGCTGTCTTATGTCTCATTTCAACTGAGCGGAACGGTTCGGGTCGGTCCGGTACAGTACGCTATTTTGAGTGTTTCCATTATGAAAGTGGCCCATGCAACCGAACCGAACTGCACCATTTCTGGTCCCCCTTCCGATGAAGGTCCATAGGAAATGGTACGGTATGGTTAGGGTGGAGCTACTAGCGTCACACTATACAATCCATTGATTGGCGGACAGGAAAACTTCAATGCTCGCGACAAATGACACGCTAGGCATTTGGTCTAAACCCCGCATGGCCCCTGGCGTTCCAACTTGCAGTGGAAATGCTCATCTGAATAGGCAGGACCATTCTAACCCTGTACCGACCCGAACCGTTCCACTCAGTGGAAACGAGGCATAAGAGGCACCAGAATTTCTGATGGCAGCCATTACCACAAATCCCAACACATTGGAACAAGAGGTGTGTGCAATTAGCAGGTCTTTCAACTCTTGCATTCAGAATATCTTCCATTCTGTGCACCCCACAACTTTAAATAGTCCATATAAAAGTGGATTTAAAATTTTGGGCCGCGATAGCCAAACATGAAATATTGGCTAAGTCGGCTATGTTAGGTATGACTATTGTGGCCTACAGTTGATTATTTACCTTGAAAATAAACTACTTACTCCTAAAATGTGCAATAATCTGATCAATTATCCACAATTCACAGCATTGTTAATAGGCTTTTGCACTGTGATTCCTTCCTCACTGTGCAATTATCACATATGACGTCCATGTATTTACCATATTGAGAGAGATAAAGCAATGCTTTCTTCAATGTAATCTAGGAGAGCATAATTCCTGGAGTAAAACCCTTTAAAGACAGATAATACAGAGCAGTGTGGGTCTAATTACCAGTAATAAGATTTTCACAAATTATTCATTATAGTGTAAATTGCCAGGAATTCAAATTGAATTCCAAATTTTACCACAAAATAGACAAACTGAGAATATCGTTGCCTCGGGTATATTTGCCAGTTCAGTGTTGCGGCTTAAATGTTTAAATTTGTTTTGGGTGTTATTCTGTAAACACTGACTTGTAATGAATTGAAATGGGTTGCAAATGTAGGCAATATAGCCAAACTATCAGGGTTATTCACATAAATTTAATGAATTCAAATGGCAAAAATAGCTGATTTGGAAAAACTCTGCAATTCAGTTGTAGTTATGGTCTGATTATTTTCTCTGACTGTTGCCATTTGGAGTTGTTGTTTTTTAGGCATAGGTAATGTCTCAAATCCCCCCCTTTTGATGCACTGTTTTTGTTTGTATTTTTAAACACTTTTTTCCAAGTTATAAATGAGGAAAAGAAGGGACTATTTTTCCTTATGTAGAACCAGCAGGTTGACAAAATGTGAGGTTTTAATCAAGTTTTGCTAACTTTGTCATTGGCCCAGGATGTGTGTACTTACCTACCTCCAGCGCCACATCCTGTCCTGTAGTGGGGTGTCACAGCTCCTCTCAGTTTACTCACGTTATCTTGCGTTCCAAACTATGGGCAGAGTATTCTATTCCCAGGTGCTGCCATCATTGATACTTGGAGATGGTGTTGCTTAGATTATTATCATTATTTTATTATTTATATAGCACCATCAGATTCCGTAGTGCTGTACAATAGATAGAAGACCCTAAAGGGGACCAGCAATCTGTCAATAACTAAAGCCGGTCTCTGGGTCAAAAAAATGGCCTTCATGCTTCATGGAGAACTGATTAACGGATCTCTCGGCTCTCACCTGAGGGATCCAAAACACGACCGAGCCACTTTAAATAAACCCCTATCTATGTGGGAGCTGAGTTGAACAATTTTCCCAAATCAACCATTTTTACTATTGAGTTTTCAGTTTAAAACAAATCGGTATTAGTAAATGCTTATTAACTTTCAGGGCTATTCACTAAGGTGAGAACTGCAGGAATTCAGTGCGAAATTCAAAATAAACTTCAAATTTAGGTCAAAATGTGTGAATTAATTAAGTCTTTTCTGTTTTCATTTTGGCTACTTTGGCTTTTGAATTTGCAAGTCACTTTGATTTCCTGACAAAACTTTATTGATTAAACCCTGCAAATTAAAGCACATTAAATCTAAATGGTAAAATTGAGGCTAAAATCAGCTGATTTGCAGAGATCCCCCAAACTCATCTTTAGCCACATCTTGGCTTTTTTAAGCCTCAATGTTGCCATTTAGATTTAATTTGCAAAAGTTTGGGGTTTAATAAATATCCCTGTAAGTGATTAAACTCTGCTTTGAAGTCAGGCCCCATTCCTTATGATTCACATTTAATAGAATAATCCTGTCAGTGTTATCACCAGCAATAGATAAACTAACTTTATTTAGATATACGTTTTCAGGGGAGCCCTGTTTTCATACAATGTAGCTGGAGCAGTGATACATGTATCTCAGGTAATCCAATCCCTCCCAGTGTGAGTGGATGAGATAACCTCCCTCTCCACACCCCACTCCCATTGCAGCACGCTTTGCCCTGGGAGCCCTGCTGCCCGGGGCTGGCTCAGCGTGTGATTGCTCACAGGGAGCCTCCCACATGGGCCTGTGTGAGCGGAAACGAGGATGAGATACAGTAACACTGGGAGCACAGGGGCCAGTCTCACTCAGGACTTGGAACTCTCACTATGGGGAACCTGAGCTGCATCCCCCAGCCCCACCGTCAGCTGCGTTACTCGTTCAGCAGGAAGAACTCCCTGCCAGGCAAAGAGTAAGTTATAGGCTGGGGATCCAGCCCTGGCACTCACAGGGTTAATCTACAACTTTAAATAAACTTAGATGGGAAAAATACTAAAATAAAAAAATATATACATTATAGTTTATAGGTAATATATAGACTAACATGTTATTGATTTGTGTTTTTTTTATTTATTTATTTTTTTAAATGTGTTTTGTGTGTGTGTGTGTTTTATAGCATCACTTTAAAATAATAATATAATTACTACTTTAAATGTATGTTGATCTATTGCCCAAATGTGAATTCTTTATTATTGACCCTAGAGAAATGTATAACTTTTTATTTTTTATTCATTTATTTGTCATTTCTCTTGTTTTTTTTTTTTTTTCTAATTCTTGAACTGAGAGTACAATTTGATTTGAGTTTGAATTCTTGGGTCACGTGACACGACAGTCTAACATTTTAGTGTTAAAGTCTTGTTTAATTGGGGTTCTAAATGAGTTTCATTAGTGATGAGTCTTAATAATTGACAGGTAGAGTTTCTGAACTGGTGTTTTGGTAGTGTGTACTATAAAGGTGAAATCTATCAATTCTGGTAGTTGTGTTATGTGCTGCTCTTCTCCGATCTTTGAATACTTGAGAACTAAAATCCTAATGGCAAGATTTAGGCAATCACCTGATCTGGGGGGAAAAAATCTCCAATTTTACTCCTAGAGTAACAGTTTGCCTATTTTAGCCTCAATTATTTGTTGGCGCTATATAAATATAATAATAATTTTGCAATGTTGAATTCTAGCTTGCTACAATTTGCAGTTTAGTGAAACCTCTGATACTGTATTTGTATGTTGGATGTGCTGAATAATCTGTTTCTAGGCTTAGTTCTGCTGATGCACCACACCTATTGCAGAACCTCTTGGGTGAGAGATTTTGGCAGTCCTCTAGCTGCCTGGCTGAATTATTGTCATGACTGACAGATCAGCTTTCCAAAAAATGTTCTAACTACCGCCTTAGCTTTTCTGGGCTCTGGTGATCAGATGAACTTTTACAGTGGCCCAACTGACCAGTTCTGGGACTCAAATTATATTGTCCTGTCCATCTGATCACTTTTTTTTTTCACTGTTATTTATTGAGGTCCTTGATCGGTTGGAGTATGTGACAAGACTTGAAGATGTGATCTGTATATTTATGTAACAATACCCAAGTTTATTCACCAAATGGAGAATTGACCATGAAATTTTCAAATTTTTTTTTTTTTTTTTTTTTTAAATCAAAATAGCTGAATTGGAAAAATGTAAACAGTTAAGCTTTTTATTTATTTACGGCTTACCCGCTTTAGGTTAAAAAGTGAAATTCTGTGTGCAATTTTCATTTTAGTGAATAATCGCTCAGTGATTTTCTAAAATGACGTATCAACAAGTAGCCCTTTCTATTATTGCCTGAGCTGTATGACAGACTGATCTAGTCTATTGGCAAAAGAATAGGTAACTACTTGGAAAACTCTCCTGCTGCTGTTTGAAAAGCACCAACGTGGTCTGCAGCGCTGTGCAATGGTCAAACAAGACCTACAAGTAACTGTGACAAAACAATTCAGGCACAAGGAAACAGTAGGTGGTAAAAGCCTTTTTAAAACAAAGTTTCAGCTGATTGCTTGTCTGTTTCTATTCCAAGACTGAACTTGCATAACAAGATAGGGCATTTAAAAACTTTACATGTGCTGCTGTGGTTATTTTTTTTTCCTCCCTTGTTTATTATTAAATCCCTAGGGAATTTAAAAAATAAATATATAATACAAATATAAACTTTGAGATCACAACAAAAGGTGTTAATGGTTTAGGAGAGGTCCTTCTTAGCTTGTGGAAGTAATGTTTCAAGCCATCTGGCAGTTAAAAGGTTAATACAGATAACCCTTTTTGCATGCCAAAAGGTTTCTAATTGGGTTTCATCTGAATTTGAATACTGGACTACTATACCCCAGGGGCCCTAGAGCTGCATCCCTCCCCCACCCTTAGTTTCTGGCAGTCCCTGCATTCATTGTGCTAAATTGCCCCATAATAATGCAATCACTTGTAACTGTTTACACATACACTGGATTGTGTTCATACAAGGGCTGCTGGTGTAAATGGGTTTCAAGAAAAATTAAACAGCTTCTATCATTTTCACTAAGCATTAGGGCTTATTCCAAGTGAGTAACACATTAGGAGATAATATAAAATAAATGTGTCTCTTCAATGTTCTTGTACGTATGTGGGTGTTTTTTTTTTTTTTTTGTTTGTTTTGTTTTTGTTAGTATATTAAATAGGTGGTGGTCAATTTTAAGTTTTTTTTTTTTTTTTCCTCTCTCTCCCATTGAGGCATTAAACGTTTGGCATGCATATATTTCCAAGTACAAATATAAAAGCTTGTAAGCTCGTTTAAGCAGGGCGTTCTTTTGTATGTCAACATTATTTTTATCTGTCTGTAAAGTGCTGTGGAAAATGTTAGAGCTAATTAAATGCTAATGATCAAACATAGGAGATTTTACAGACTATAGTGATGATAGAAGCATATTTAACTTTAAAATTATTATATGGTCGCTAAGTGAAATTTTGCAGAGATAGCATTCTGGCATGCCAAGTGTGAGTATTTTATTCCAAAAGTAAAATCTTAAAGCACCAGTTTGGGCACCACAACAACTTAATCAAAATGAAGTTGATATGGTGCCATGGGGTCCCTGGCGCAGCCTCGCCTTCAGAGGTTAAACCGTTCATCAACTGTTTAACTCGAAAGTCTGTGTTACAACGCTAGATTGCTTTGCCTCCTGTCCTTCCGCTTTCTGAAAGCCTACATAAAGTGTACAGCGCTACGGAATCTGATGGCGCTATATAAATAATACAATAATAATCATAAAGGAAGGATTGGCCAGGGGGTTCCCCTGATTGGCTTAGAACGGTCAGCTGGCGCTCTAAGCTGATCAGCATCGCGCCAACCCAATGATGCCTGATCCTTCCATTTTTATATAGGATTTCAGAAAACTTAAGGACAGAGAATTTTGCTCTGTAACACAGATTTTGGGGTTAACAAGTTTGTCATTAGTTTACCCCCTAAAGGTGAGGCAGCGCCAGGGACCTTCTGGCACTATAACAACTTAAAGATGAACTGGTTATGGTGCCCAAACTGGTACTTTAACCATTGCTTTCTTTCTCTAGAATTTATATCTTATTTTTTTTTGTTTTTTATATTATATCTACCGACTCTACTGGGAGGCAGTTGCATATCACTACCACTATTTTTAAACCACTAAAAATAAATAATAAAAAAAATCTTCCAAATTAAGACGATGACTTACAGAAGTTAACTTCTGGGTATTTCTTTGCCAGTGGAGAGTGAGAGGTTTCCCTTTTTTGACATATTTAACAAGGAGTTTGAGGCGACTTCGGTATGAAATTCTGTCCAATAAGCAGGGCACTGTTGCATACCATTGCAAGCAGTGAATTGGAGATCTTTTTGCTTGTCTGATTATGTGTCTGGGAATCAACTCTGCCCAACAAATGATGGCTTAAAGAACCAACCCTGTTGGAATTTCGTGATATTTGTATTGCCAGGCAGGACTAAAACATTCTTATCTAGACTTGTTCAGTCTGACCTATCTGTTTACTTTGTATCATTAAATAGCCCCTGTAATCTTTCCCTGTCTGTTAAAAATGCCTGGTGCTGTATATTAAACCTGTCAATGTGCATGTGCCCTTGTAATAAAATTTGGTATATTTCAGCATTATTATATATCGTTCCAAGATTGGGCCTAAACACATTCAAAGCTCCCTGGATACTGGTATAATTAAACCAGGCACAATACATCAGTTTAGTTTTGTAACTTTTTTTTTCTGTATTGATAATTCATTTCATGTTTTCTTACATCATGTTGTGCCCAAATAATTGAACAGTGTGTTTTAACCCCTTAAGGACACATGACATGTGACATGTCATGATTTCCTTTTATTCCAGAAGTTTGGTCCTTAAGGGGTTAAATAATGTGACCCTTAAAGGGCTATTGCAAAAGATTGCTTTAGAGATTAGATTATGCATTATAACATTCACAAGGTTTGTAGTGTCACTTGTTATCAAATAATTTTTTCTGTTTTGCTTGACTTTTTAAATTAAATATGGAAATAAATCTGCAAAACTGGACTCATGGAAGCAGCCATTTTGGACTTCCTAGCAGAATGAAGCTGACTATGTTTGCTGACCATTGTCTTGTCATTTTATTAGCAATATTATGATAAAATTTCCTACAGCATTGCTTATAATTAGATGTAATTAATTAGGCAATTCTAGTCTTCAATATTGCTTGTCATAGTGAAGGCAATTTTTATTTTATTTTTCACAAACCATTAAATGAACTCAACTAATTTCCATGCAGCACATCTCCCAATTTTTTTTTAAGTTTTAGGGGGACAATAACTAATAAAGGAATGGGTAGTTTAGTATCTCCTCATATAAACATCTCTTTTAAAGCGTTTAACCTCCTGTATTGCTCGTGGTGTCAATATGACATCTCATAACAAACATCTCACGACAAATGCTTGTGTGCAGCTAGCGATGAAAGGATTGTGTGCAAAGCATTTCATCACCCTGTCTTTTTGTAGGCAAGACAGCAGAACTAAGTGGACATATTTGTTTGGGAATGAAAGTGGCGTTGGAAGAGTGACAAATTCGGACAACATTCTGCACTACATCCCAGGGAAGGTAAGAAACCGTGGCCGTCCATTATTTATATATACGTATTAAAGTTGTTTGTTTTGTAATTGTCAGAAATATAATTTTTAAATAATTTGTGTCTCCAAGCTAAGATGATGTTAAAGTACTTCAAGTCTTTGTTTTTAGTAAAGAAATCAACTTAGTCTTACAGTCTCTGCGTGAATACATGTATAATTGTACTTTAATTATCTGTGTAAGGGAATGGATTGTCTGGATGTAAATGGATAAATATCTAAAAATGTGCGCATGCAAGAGAAGCGTATTTTAAAAAATAATATAAAATATATATATATTTTTTTTTTAAAAAGTGCATAAAAAAAAAAAACTCTTTGGGAGTTATATGAAGCAATGCATAGTCTGGCGATTTGGGAAGGAAAGTGTTAACCGTGGCTCTGGATTCTGTTATCTTGCATGTGCATACCCATCTATGCCTGGAATTTGGGATAGGCCCTCAGTATTCCTTGTTACTCTATATTACTCAGAGACAGCCTGCTTGGACTAAGGGGGTCGTCTTGTAACAACTTTCCTTTTTAGACGGCTGAGTTTAGGTTTGTTACAATGCATAGTTACCAGTATTTACCAGTATTTACTGCGTCTGGCAGTGAAGCCATTTTTTGAAGGTTATGGTGGAATGCTTGTAAAATAGAATCAGATTTCATTGGCTGTCAGTCTCTGCATCCTTCACCAATTGGCTGTCGATTGGTAGTCGCACACTGAAGCTGTCTGAACTGAAACCGTAATTTGTGTTGACAGTTGCTTGTATAAATTGTGTTTATAGAGGTCACCGCTACTTATATTAGGTGAACTTTCCTATAGATTTTGTTACTGTGAAAAAAAGTTGCATATGTATCCACGCCCTCAGGCAGGGGCGTCTAACCTTGTCCTCTAGGACTGTTGGGATATATTTCTATTGATTGTCACCGAAGTATGGGAATCCTGTTACTAGATGTAAGGGCGAGGCTCAACACCCCTGTTCTAAAAGAAAGGTTAACATCGGTGAAACGCTATTAAAATCAGAACTGGTATAGTTTGGATATTATGCGCAATTAAGAAATGTGTAACATTAATTTCACCTATTTTATCTTTTTTTTTTTTTTTTTTTGCCAAAACATTGGGGCTGAAAACTGGTCAGACTAGATGGGCCAAATGTTTTCTTACTTGCCGTCACATTCTATGTTTCTATGAGAATCCTGTATTTATGTATCATAACTATCAAGAAATTCTAGAAATGTATAATTTTGTTATTCTCTGGAGCTTTTCTTTTTATCATAAATAAATTACCGTAGATCACCTTTTATTATAACTTACTCAAATTCCTCATATCTGATTCAGCTTCCTCTTTTTGTTCAAAAACATCAAGGGGGATTTTCTTAGGACAGAGCAGGTGAGACTGTGTTTTCAGCAGTAATGTGTATTTTGCAATCTAGGAATTGTATAGTGGAAAGAATGCAGAGATAGAAATATTGGAACAGGTTTATTGCGGAAGCAGTTTAAGGACTAAAGGTTTTTTTTTTTATTTAATTTTTTTGTTATAACCTTTATCACTTTTAAAGGACCACTATAGTGCCCTGAGGGTGCTCCCGCCAGGCTGGATGGCGAGGAAAGGGTTAAATCTTACATTTTTTTTCCAGCGCCGGGCGGGGAGCTCTCGTCCTCTTCGGCTGAATGTGCATGAGCGGCATGAGCTGCGTGCGCATTCAGCCAGTCTGATAGGAAAGCATTCATAATGCTTTCCTATGGATGCTGGCGTCTTCTCACTGTGATTTTCTCACTAGAGGTTTTAGAGGCCGGATTAATCCATTTATAAACCTGCTATGTTTATTTAAAAAAAAAAAAAAAAAAGGGGTTAATCCTAGAGGGACCTGGCACCTAGACCACTTCATTAAGCTGAGGTGGTCTGGGTGCCTAGAGTGGTCCTTTAAGGATAAAGGGGTTTATTCACCTAACTGTAAGTTATGATAAACTGTGTTCAATATAAAGACAAAATATAGGCTACTTTGGTCTAAATTTTGTTCAGCCCATCACCATGTGCTTATGGATATATTCACTATATCAGCCACTTACAAGAGGTTTGTAAACTTTGTCATATGTGCAAGCCTACTTTTGGCAACATTGACCAAAAAGCTGGACCTTCAAATGACTTTTACAAGTCACATCTTGTGGTTCTTGCATGCGCGAGAGTACATCAGTGATGCCTGTCACCAGGAGCAGAAAAGGACCGGAAGTAAGGACACACCGTATCCGCAACAAGTTCAGGTAAGTAAATCTTACCTCACCAGCCACCAACAAAGTCCCCAGATGGTGAAATTGCCACTTTAATTGTTTTAGGCTACTTGTCAGAGTTTAAAAAGGCTATTAAATTTGCTTATAATCCAGCACTGAGACAGATCCCTTTCTGAAATCCCAACTATCTACAGTGAATCTTTAAGCTTAGTTATAACTTTTGTTCAATCAAATGATTGATTCTTTTTTTTAATAGGGAAGCATTGGGGACACATGCGCGGCAATTGTCACAAGCTACCGAAGCACTGACTGTGCACCTAGTGTCCAACATTGACATACTTTGCATGCAACACCAGACGCAAAATAGATTCAATTATTGAATCTAATTTTGTCCAAAACCCCTGTATGTAGTGACTTTGGTGCCAAGACTGTTCCTTAAATTATCTCTGTGTATTTAGGAAAAGTTATACGCCTTTTAATTATGCAAAAACTAAAAATAAAAGATTTTGGTTCTACTGATATTCCTACAGTCTCTCGATTTTAAATTGTAACTTATTAGTCTTTTATTATTTTTAAATTATGTGGACCAGCAACATTACGCTGAATTGATATTTACTGGTGGTAGTTGAGGTATACAAATTCATTGGCAGTGTTTATTGTATTAGAATAAAACAAGAGCGCATAATGGGCTATTTAACTAATCGGGGGTTGGGGGGGGGGGGGAGGAATTCCCCGGGCTGGTTTCTGTATGACTCACCCAGTCCTCTTTTTAAGACCATATATCTCAGCAGAGCAGGTTGCAACACATACCTGTGATGACCTGGCTGTCTGAAAACATGGCCGTATTGGTGATGAGCGTTTACTACAGCACCTTTACCATATACCTGACTGCTTCTGTTAGTAGTCTGTAACACAATCACAGTCTGCAGAAGCTAAAATGGAATTTGTCAGATTATGTTTTAATTGACGAGGGTCTCCATTCACAATGGGTGGGTTCCCATTATGAGAATGTAGTGTTCAACAATTACAGGGCTCAAGTTGGCCTGTTGGGTTTGTAAATGTTTGGATACTTGGACCGCTTACTACACGGCAGCCACAAAACACACGTACGTGTGTTGACAGAGATTATCTGCACACATTCCTGCAGTGTCTGAACCAGACTAGTGAGTTTATCATTAATGAAGGACACTCCTATCTTTATTTAAAATTAAAAGCCAATTATCCCAGGTAGTGATGATCATAAACCTGTTTGTCATTATGCAATGTATAGATAGGGTTGGGTGTTTGTAATCATCCTGGCTTCGTGGGACATCTCATCAGGCACGCAGATTTTATTTTGTAGTGCAGGAAAAGCTGTTTAGTCATATGTTCTGGGAAGGAGGGGCGTGGGAACCTAAAATTTGGGGTTTTTCAGTTCTTCCTTTGTGCTTTACGGATCTGTCGCATTACAGAGAAAAATCCCAAATTCAGTGTGTGTACCCTGAACCTTTAGGGATCATTTAATTTCTGATAAAAGCAAAATCCCAAGATCCCTGCCCCCCTCCCCATCATTCCAGGAAATTAAGCAGAACATTGGTAATCCCTTAATTTGTGTGTTCAAAGTGACTTTGCTTCTTTCGTATTTAGTTCTCAAGTGATCCCGATTATTCTATTACATGGCAAGCTGCTACAAATCATTTCAGTATTAAAAAAAAATCAAAATCAAAAATTCCCATTTAAATTTAAAAGTAGGCCAAATGGAAGAGGCAAACGTTTAGATTTTGGTCAGCAGTGTGATAAGACAATAAGTGTGATCTCTTTAGGGAAAAAAAAATTATTTTATTTGATGTCAAGGTTGATTGGAATTCAAGCTGTTTTGCTACAAAACCCATTGTTTGCTGTGCTCTGCTTGGTGGCTCCGAAACGACTGGCTTAAACGTGTTAAAAGGACAATTTCCCTTGTCTCCTTGCCTCACACTTGGTGGCAAGTGTTAGACAGGATCTGATGCACTCAGTTCTTTTAACATTCTGTGTTTAAAATGGTTGGTATACATAATTAGTGAAAACTGAGGAAATCCTAGGGAAAAACTCATTGCTCCTATTAAACAAAAAGGAAGGAGTCCTTTTTAAGCTAATGCGTAAATCCACCTTTAACCTCACTTAAATACAATCCTTACATTAGCACCTATTTACTGCTCTTAGCAGACTAGGCCAAGAATGGAAGATCTAAAATGAGGAGCCCATAAGATTATCCAGGTGAATAACGTGGGGGTTTAATAAACGTGGACCACTTTGTGTAACCTCTTAATATCCCATGTTTGGTCACAAAATAGGGAAATAATCAGCTACCATGATCTAAAAGCCCACTTTATCCTTTACAATACAGTATGCATTTAAATACATACAAATAATGACCAGTGTGTAAAGAGAATTAATAACAAGGAATGGAAGGAAAATTAGTAAATATGGGTATTTTCCTACCGTAGAAAATCCCCTGCTGTGATGTTATTCATCTCATGACATAGGATGTTCTCTATCCCATTTATTTATTTATAAAATATTTTACCAGGATGGATACATTGAGATTTCTCTAATTTTTCAAATATGTCCTGGGCCTAGACTGACGACGAATGCTGGTCCTGTGTCTTGGCAAACTATAATTCTAATGTGGTGTGTGTGTGTGTGTGTGTGTGTATATAAAAGCTTAGACTTTAAAAAGCATGCAAATCAAAGCTATAAATTCATATATATTGTAAATACAGAAAGTTTATTAAAAAGATGCACTATAAATGCTTCATTTTATTGAAGTGCTTATAGTGTCTGGAGTCCCTAGTGCCATCCATCATTTCAACCTAAAACCAGTTTTAATGTTTTAGTGATAAACAAGAGTTCCCAACCCCTCAGTGCTGTTTGGACTAGTGAGGAAGCATTATCTTGAGGGCAGCTGTGATTGGCTGAGCGTGTCAGCTGACTTCTTTCACCCTATCACAGCACCCATTGCTGGTATGGATGTCTATGGTTACAAGGAAGTGTGTAAGCTCTGCCTTAGCCACACCTCCAGTGGGGGTCGGACTCTGTGAAGCCAGGGACTCTTATTGCTTGAAAAACATTAAACGCTGAATGGAGGGACAGTACCTGGATCTCCAGGCACTATAACTCATTTAATGAGATGAAATGGGTTTTGGTGCCTATAGTGTAACTTTAAGACAAATCATTACAAAACATAAAGTTTTCTAAAAGATTACCTAACGAAAATAAACTCTTGGCATCTTTTTTTTTATTTTTTTTTTCTGTCCCCAGCAAGGGACTGTAAGAAAACCGCTCATTATTCCCTGGTCTCCGTGTATTCATACAGTGCTGTCTTCAAAGTCCATTCATCCTATTGAATGTTAAGCCAGCAATGTAGCCATGCTGTGTGTTTAAATCCCCATTTTACAGTGTCCTATGACATTGCTTTCAGCGTGAAGGACATTCTTGGGTGGAGAGGGCTATCCTTTTTCCTAATTCAGCATTCCAACTTTCTATCCAGTAAGTCCACTGGCTGCTGCCAAGATTTGATTCAAATATAGGACACCTGCAATTTAAAGGCAAGAATCCCCCAAGAACCCACGGTATAATTTTTATAATTGCAGTGTGTCATGTTGGGGTGTGCTCCCATCACCCCAGTTGCAGCTATTAATATACTATACAAGTGTGCCTCCACTCACATACCTCGAGTGGCATTTGTTTCCTTTTTCACCCTTCACCCTCTCTGTAATGTATTTATAATTACTGTGAAATATTTGCACCCAAGTATTAAAGTGGCGCGCTGTACTATAACATTCTGCCTCATTATAGTGATTGATTATTTAATCAGAAGTTCCGTGCTAGTCAATGCTGTTCCCTTTACACTGTTGTTGACGCCGTCATACAATATCGATCTAATGACGAACATCCACGTGTGACCAAAGATGTTTCAATACCCCCCCAGATGTGTTGAGTCACTCACGTTTTTATCGGGTGATAATTCACAAGCAAACACTTTTGCTGACCTATACAGGATTAACTCAAGTATTGAGTTTAGATATTGTCCAATTAACAGGGCGTGTGTGTGTTATCTGCTAAAAATGACATGACTAAACCTAACTTAATGTAACCGAAATTGTGCCATTTAACATATCAATACATTTATGTACAAGCATACGTAAAATGACTGCTTGTGTTTAACAAAACATTAGAAAGTTGCTAAATAAAGTGCAAATGACTGTTCCTAAAATTGCAGCTTTTACCTACAAGTACATTAAAAGAATTCTATTCTTGAAAACACCCCAAATTACTTTTACATTCCCCCAAATCATTGCTGTGTGGCTCGATCACAACTGCACTTCTAATCTCGTCGCCCACTTTCTTTACATTTCATGTTTAGATGTGAAATTGACCTACATAGCAATGGCCATAGTATGAAATAATATTTAAAAACTTTAAATTACTAAAGGACTTTAGGCACGTACCCACTTGTTTAGTGTTAATATTTTTTCTGTTACTCATTGGTTATGTTGAAGTGTGATTTGTGTTGGATCCAGGGTTTGTCTTTGAGTTTATATGCTGTTTGCAAAGAACAATTTAGCTCAGAGCATTTGTGTAAAGCTCAAAGCTCCCTCTATTTATAACTTTTAGGCTTTTGTGCGTCCTCAAACATTAAATGCCTGTGTACCTTGCTAATCTGGTAACATTTTGACAACAATCTGTCTGTGATCTGTCTAGGGATTAGCCGAGGTCACACATTACAGATTGTAGGTGTGGAGGGATGGTGGGAATCTGTTCTGAAAATGCACGCTTTCGTGATCAACGTTAAATAAAGCAGTATACCTATGTGGGTTCTATATTTGTGTAGGAAACACTCAACTTAACCATAATTGGACGTTCAAGCACATCTGGATCTTCAGTTTCAGTACAACCGTGGACAATGTGATGGTTATTAAAGAAAGCCTATAATCCCTCTGCCTCGCAGAAACCGATACTTCAGATCTTTTTTTTGTAGAAAATGAGGCGCGTTAACGGGTTAGCAGGATTCAATAAATACTGAGCCGGAAGTTCCTTCAATCGGGATTTCTGCAGTATCTGCTAATTTTACATGCAACCAGATATAGGATCTGTAATATGAACAAGTCTCGCTAGAAGTGCCTTTTTAGTTTTCCAAAGAACCCACCTGCCAGCCTCTGGAATTAGTGTGTCAATGTTCAGCTTAAATCTGAAAGGCATCCTTTGGGTAATAGCAGGACCTTCTTAAACTTGGCTTCTGTGTTTGAGATATTTCTTAAATACTGTTGTAACACTTCCAAAACTATTCATGCATAATTTGTTTTAGCAGGTGTTCCTTTAAATTCGTGATGGGGTATACGACTATGCATTAGAATGAAGTGTTTGCAGATTTTCCGATTTGTTTCCATCCGGTTATTAAAAGAAAATTGGTGACCTGTAGTTTTTGTCTTTTGTTCAACACAGTAGTACTTCACACCCATGTTGGTATCCAAAATTAGGTTTCCAGTGGTTGAAGCCAGTATGTCCTCTTCATTGAGTTAAATAAACTGTCTACAATACATTAGTTACTGTGCAATGCAAACCAGTTGTGATTCAAGTGTGTACATATGTGACATGAATGTAATTTTTGTTAAATTAAATGTACTGGATATGACCTGACATAAATAGGTTGTCAAGCTAATACCAGAGCATTTGAGTCCTTGTTCAGAACATTTAAAAGCATTTGCAGAACTTGTGGCTGGGCTGCTGGTACCGGGGAGAACCTTGTTTGTGTCAAGTTGCTTGAAAAACGTTTAACACAGAACAGGGAGGCAATGCCATTGCCATGCTAACATCATAACCACAACAGCAGGCAGTAGTGGTTATAGTACAAAGGTGGTGTCCATTATATTTTAAAGTTCTGCCACTTGAGTGGGTTCATGGAAAGCAAATACGCAGAACTCTTAAAGAAAAACTGTATTTCACTAGTGGCATTTTCTGATTTATTGATCCACTTGAAAGCTGTATAGATTGCATTGAAATTAAAAGTATATTTTGACACCTACATAGTAGAGTTGTATCCAGAAACCAAGATGGGTAAGGTAAATGTGAACAAAAAGTGCTAATGTCTTCTTCAGATCTGTGAATTTGGGGATTGGCTTTTAGCATGGTATTACAATTTACTCATTTATTTTGTTTATGGAACAGTCTTTAATCCCATCGATCTGGTAGCCAAAACCTGTACCGGCTTCTCAAAATATCCTCATCCATTACTCATTTATGCAGTGTAACTTTTTTTTTTTTTTTCCCTGAACAGGACATTGGAAATCATGATGTACAAAAGGACAACGTGGACCAAAGATTTCTCAGCATTTTCCGTAAGGGGAAGAAAAAAACGATTGTCCGGAATATGGGGCAAATGATTCATTACTCCAAAGTTAAATTCCGCTTCCAGCACAGCCAGGTAATTTTACTAAAAGCTACATGAGAACCAGGAGTATCAAACTGGGCATTGTCAGCAGAAATATTTCCAAGTACAGTACTTGGGGAAAAAACAGTCTTTATCTTGTATTGATCATGGAGTATGATTAATGGCTTGTGTGGACTTCCTGTGGGCACATACAGCACTCCTCACCATAAGGCACTGTAAAGTCACGTTTCCACTACCTGTAGAATGATGGGAATTAATACACTTGGTCTTAAAGGATAACAACTGAATCACCTGCAAGTGATGTGTATATATCCCTTCTAATTTGGCTTAAAACTTTTTTTGGTGGGTACCCTGCAATAAACTAAACCACCATCCATTGCAGAGGTAAGAAGGGTTAAATCAAAAGTTAGCTGTTGATATCAGGCTTTCCTGTAAAGAGTCCAAGCATTGCCCCTCCCGTCTTCACCTGTGACATCCACACCTCTACAATGTGTGACTCATTTCCCATTGCAGCCTGGACTCTGAGCTTGTGTCTGGCTGATAAGGTTTTCTGTCTACCTGGAAGGTATCACTAATGCGTTCACTGCCAAGAGGTGGTTGCGTTGTGTTCTTGCCCCGTCACCCAAACAGTTATTTCTCGCCAGCTGGAGTAATATTTACTTTCTTGGTCTTGTCGACTGAGTGACCTGTGTTCGTTATAGAGAGAATATTCCCAATCTACGGTAACTTTGTTACAAATAAATGGAATACTGCACTGTCTGACACCAGGCGAGTTAACTGGTGAAAGACTTGGCATGTGCCATGATTAGACTTGTGGGTACAGCATGAAATGTCATGTGACATTGCTGTCATTTTAATCTGTATTGCTGCTCTGAGCAGATAAAAACTGGTGGGATTCCTAAAAATAATGAAATAAAACATGTTTGCTCAGTATCATCCGACTGCCTCTAAACCTCTTCAAACTGTTGAAGAAATCACCGAAGTAAAACGTAACTATTATTAATTATTTCTGTCTGAGCGCTTTAGTCTGAATCCTGTCTCCTAACCTTTGTCCTAGTTCAGGCAGTTTCATATTGATTCCAAACCAACCGTTGCAATGATGTTCTTTTGTTAATGGTGGGAGCTGGTGTTTACGGAATATCAGGCCGGTCTTGCTTGGGGGGATTTTCTCGTTCAAATATTTTATTTATATATTTTTCTGTTGCAGGATGTCAATGACTGTTATTTGGAGTTGTTCCAGTCATACCTGTATTTCCAGTCTCGCGGGCCCACTGGCTTGACCTATCAGGTGGGTGTATTATTTATTTATTTATTTTTGCCTCTTTCCTATTCATAGATCTTCTTGCAATCCTTTGTTAAAGTGTCATGTCTAGTCTGTCACCGTATGGGAGGAGGGGAGAGGAGATGTTTCATACTCACAACTTCCTAAGAACATGATACAATGTGATTTCACGTCAATCCGAGTCAGAGCAACATTACTCTGATAGGTTTGTTTTGGACCTCTCATATACCTTCAATTGTGTGTGTTTTTATTACCTATAATTTATTATCCCATCCACGTATACACATGCTTGATGATATCTGAATGCCACAATGGTGAAATACACTAAAAATCACTGTACACATCCACATGACTTGATATTAGATTGTTTAATGCAGGTCTATTCATGGTGTCTGCTGTATTGTCCATTTTTTATTTTCTGTTCTCACCATTATCTTTACTTACTTTATCCCAGTGATAACCTAAGATAATACTAGATTAGACAGATCCTTTTGAAAGATGACCTGCTGTGTTTCCCCAGCTATAAAGGAGTTTTCCTAACTCCAGTCTGTTTTAATGGGTTAACTAAAATGTTTTCAGTAAGATTGGGGCAGGAGACACACATCCAAGGTCGCATAGGCTTTTATTTGGATTTAAGACAGACCTTGTGCCTCTCGAATCTTCAATATTTTCCTATTTCTCATGTTAATCTCTCTGTAAAGTATAACATTTTAACGCAAACAATGTAGGATTTGGAAACTGGCAGGCAGCGAAGAATGTAGGCGTGTGGATATTTTTTTATTTTTTTTTTCTAATCTCAAAAAAGAAAAATTATCTGGGATTTTAGTTGTTTAGTTTAGATGTTTCATTGCGGACTTGAATAACCAACTAACAATTAAATAAAATTGTGTTTTTATTTATTTATTTCTTAATAATGCATAGCTCCTGTTCATTTGATGTTTCCTATTGGAAAATAATAAAATCTAGGCAACTGTGATTTAGAAATCCTCTTGTCTAATTTGCATCATATCTGAACTCCCCCCAGCATTTAGTCTCTTTGTGGAGACTTGAAATAACACAAACATAAACAGACAGTGGCAATGTTTTTCTCCAAGTGTATTTCTGATTATAGTAACAAACCAGTCCAGCCTTGCACCGTGGTACAGAAAGGGTACACCCAAACCATGGTATCTTTTTTTTTTTTTTTTTTTTTAATGTAGCTGATTAAGCTCTCTCTATAATCTAAATAGCCTATTCTTTATGAATTTCATCTGGACCTCCGTAACTGTATATCACATTGTTACGGTTTACAGTGACCTCTTTCTTAAATTCTACATGCCTTTTCAAAGAATTTAGATTGCACCCGTCTAAAGGCTTCTGTTATTTTGCTACAGTTCTGCTGCATGGCTGTTTTTACTTTCAAATCTAGTATAATAAGCAGTTATTATCTCCAAGAACAGACTCGAAAAACAGACACCAGAAATTGCAAGCCTGCATGTTCTCCGATCGCTTCAAAGAAAGGGATGCATCTTAAACCAGACCTTCCAATGATACGTTATATTTATTGTGGAGGTTCCCACCATTTGCGCAGCTTAATGAGAGTCCAGATCTCCAGAGCTCTTAGGGCATGACCATTCAATATATATCACAATTTGATGAAGGCTGTCCAGAAAAAAAACCCCAAAGCTGTTTCATTTTGTAAAAAAGGCTAAAATCATTAGCATCATGTTTCTCATTAAATGCGTTCCATATTTTCAATACCTGTATTCTAGCACAAAAATGAATACTTGAGGCGCTAGAGCAGGGATAGGCAACTTTCAGCACTCCCGATGTTGTGGACTACATCCCCCATAATGCTCTTACACACATAATGCTGGCAAAGCATCATGAGAGGTGTAGTCCAAAACATCTGCTGTGCCGAAGGTTGCCTATGCATGTGCTATCTGGTATCTGGTACATAATGACTCATTGTAAAATCCCCTTGGCCATAACACATTATTAAAACTGTCCTCGATTTATGGCACTCTATCCCATATTCTCATACAAAATCAGTCACATTATGGTTTCGCCTTATTATTATTTTATATAGCGCCAGCAAACTCCGCAGCGCTGTACAATGTGCTTGCACGTGATTTGGCCCTTCACATGTCAAACTAGTAAAAAAGCATATATGCATTTAGCACCAATATGTGCTCTGTGTTAATTTTGATTTGGTCATTTCATTTTGAAAGTGATAGAAATCAGGTGGATAAAAAAGTGTATGCTTAACCCCTTAAGGACCAAAATTCTGGAATAAAAGGGAATCATGACGTGTGCTTAAGAGGTTAAAGAAAGTTAGTGTTTTTTGAAAAAAAATTTTTTTGTTGTGTAAAAATTAGTGTTTTTTATTTATTTTCAACTGCTGACAAATGCCTTTTTAAAAAAATAAATAATTTGATAAGCTTTTCAAATGGTTTGTAAAACTTTGCAAAACTTTTGAAATGGTTTATCTACAAAACGTCTCATAGACTTTAATAAGGCAAAGCGCCATTTAAAATAATAAATAAATTTTTTTGTCTTTGTTCTGTGTATGTATCTGTTGATATTAATCATCTGCTGTGTGTGTTTTTGTGTGTGCAGGGTTTGGTGCCTTTAAAAGAGCTCAGCGTGTACAAGTTAGAGAGATCTAAAGTTCCACCCAAGCCAGAGGAAGAGCATGCTTTCAGGATCACAGGTAATGTGAGGGGTGTAAATATTTTAATTACTACCCGCCCCCAGACTGGGGAACCCACTTACTGCTTTAGCAGCAGGGAGGAAACTGTGTAATAGCTGTATACACATAGATACGTTCTATCAGTCTGATTACATTGATCTTCCCATGCTCCATTAGTTCAACTGTTTCCTTCAAACAGAGTTCTAATTCTCTAGCCCATTAACTGATGTATTTGTGTGGGTGCAGTTTAAGCTGTATATGTAGAGCTGGGCTGATTCCGTGTACTATGGAGGGGTCTATGAGGACGATCTGGCCATACAAGGCTGGGTTTCAATAAATGGTTTTGCACTTTGGAGCACTTGGGCAATGACCAAATATAATGTAACAAAATGCCTGAAATTTAGTAAAAATATTGCAAATAGAAAACTGGATCACCCGTATAATTCCCATGGAAACCAATGGCATGCCTCTGCTGATTATTTTCTATTTCTTTATTTATTGTGATTTTTCTGTTTTGAGAACGCCTGTTAGTCACATATATGTAAAGGGACTCCAGTAACATTGTTGAGTTTGGTACTTGTTATTTTCTCCATATTTCAACTCCTATAGGACTTATTTTTACCTGTAATTCTATCTCACATATAGAACAGGAACACTGATAATGTAAACCTAGAAATGTGTTGTTTTGTCGTCATATTGATCTAGAAACCACAACCTTAGAATTTTCCAATCTCCTGGATAAACAAATACAGTTACAACAGTTTATGGACATCTCTTATTTAGTAAATTAAATCAATAACTCTCTTCTCCTCCAACTGTGACTACAGATCTAATTTTTTTTTTTTTTTTAACACCAAGCCACTCAAGTATTTGTAAAGAGACGGCTCCATAAAACACGGTTCAGGATCGTTTCTCTTCTTTCTTTTCCAGGCCCTTTGCTCAACCCTCTGATTGTTTACTGTGCAAACCAACAAGAGCTGCAGAAATGGCTTTACCACCTGGAGAAACAGATCCAGCTCAACGGAGGAAGCTTAGATTCCTTTCCCACCGAAGAGGTAATATACTTGATCTCCACTACTTCTAGAGCAGGCTTCCCCAAACTCCGGCCCTCCAGATGTTGCTGAACTACAACTCCTATGATTCTCAGCCTATCTGTTTCAGTCAGAGAATCATGGGAGTTGTAGTTCAGCAACATCTGGAGGGCCGGAGTTTGGGGAAGCCTGTTCTAGGAGCCTCTTGTCTGACTGTTCTATCCGTAGAGTTTTTGATTGAAGACACATGGCGACTAGAATGATCAAGACTGTCTGTTGTGTGTTCCTGTTGTGCTAGAGGTCTTCGGTAAAATAAGCAGGGTTATATGAGCACCCAGCACAATATTCAGACAGGGACAGCTGATCCCACCTGTTGGCTGTAGATATGCAGCTGTGATTAGCACAGAGGGGGCATACACATAGCTCCAGCTGTCACTGTAGGCAGCAACATATTATTAACACTCCATTTGGGGTTCCCTTAATTTTACATCAGCAGTTCCAGTTTTCGGGAGTTGGGGGGGGAAGGGTAGGTACAAAGCATATTTTATCTCAATTGCTGTATGGAGTAAGCAATCCTACTTCTTAATCTGTATAGTTTAATGTTTGTAAATTCTAATAGTTATTAGTGAATTTGTATCGGCTTCTAATTTTTTTATTGGACCAAAGGTATTAAAACCTTAACATGTGGGTAACGTGTGGGTAACGTGTGTGTGTGTATGCATATTGGAATTTGCAGAGTTCTTCATATAACCTGTTTTGACCACATGCGCAGCAATTCTAATCACAGATGAGATAAAAGTTGGGATGTTCGTCTTTCTGTAAGGCAGCTCTATTTAGCTTTTTGTAGAAACATTGTAGCTTGTAGCTGCATGTGGCAGCCTTGTAGTGCTAAATAAAGATAGCTACCAGGGGTACAAGGATCAAGATTCTCCCTCCTTGACTGGCAAGCGTGAAATGCTGGAAAGCCTGTCTGTGCCCCCTCTTTCACCTTCCATGCTCCGCTCTGCCTTTGCACTTGTGTCTCCTGAAACTTTAGAAGGAGCTGCTATGAGAACAGACAGTCCTGAACAGCAGCAACAGCTGTGAGCAAAGCAGCTTGACTTACGCTGCCGGCTCAGGCAATACCTTGGTTGTTGGCACAGCTGCAAAACCGTATTGGTCACACGCCCCGATACTTGTCCGTGCCCCCTCTCTGGGTTTGCCTGTTAATCACTTTATATTCTGAGTTCTAGTCCCTAGACAGTTAATTGACAAGGGATTGCCAAATCTACATTTTTAAGTAGTCTAGATTCTGCAATAAAACACATTTAGTGAGTAAGCCTGTAATGTTGAGTTTATTTGCTTTGCGTTTGTAAAATTAGCTACTTTTAATTACTTAATTAAAGCCAACTGCTTTTTTTTTATTTATTTTTTTATCTGCAACCTTAAACGGCACAATAGCTACAATTTATTAAAATAATCTTGATTGCTGGTGAATGAATCATTTATTTTTTTATTTTTTTTGTTGCTCAACCCTCGACTTACCAGAGGGCTAAGCCTGACCTGGTTTGTTGTTTTAATTGGCATTAAGTGCCAGTTGTGGGTAATGTCAGTACCTGTATAGAGAATGCTCATGTAGTAACTTGAATTGCTATGATATCATGTTCTGGAAATATGCAAGCTGTATTACAGATCATCGGCACACAATTATTATTATTGTTTTTATTATTGTACTGTGTGTGTATACAAGTATTTATGTTACGGTTTTATTTATCTCTTTCCTATAAAGGTGATCAATACCAGCAATTTGGAGAAGTCGGAGCTCAGGAAATCTGTTGAGAGCCAACCTGTGCATGACTGGCAAGGGACTCAGAGGGAATCTCTGGGACCCATCGCATGCATCTCCAAAGTCAAGCTTCAGACCCTGCCATTCCAGGTTAGTGCATCCCTTGTCCATGAGTCTGTTTTCTCACTCGGTCATTATAGAACTGGCTACGATCCTGTAATACCACAACAGCTTCTTATTCATGCAGCTTTGTTGGGTCCAGGAATAAAATGGATGACGTTTGTCTCGCTATGCGATCAAAACCTTGTTTGTTTATTCCTTGACCCAATAAAGCTGCATAAATACTAATAATACTTCCTTATTAGCCAAAGCAACACAGAGGGGATGCTCTGCAGGAGACTCTTGTTTAACATTAAAACATTAAAAACTGTTTAATGCTGAATGAAATGATGGTACCAGGGACTCCAGACACTATAACCAGTTTACTGAAATGAAGCAGATGCAGTGCTTAAGGTGTCCCTTTGATCTCCGTTTTATTATCTGTAGAAAAAGTGTAATTTTTACAATGCTCTCTAGCGCCCTCTAATGCCTGTAATTTCTGCAGGAGCTGAATGAAAGGCTACTGGTCCTTTACCCGTCCACGCTGGTCATACTTTCTGAGGATGGAAAAAATCTTTGCTTCAAGGTATGGATTGTGTTATGTCCATTATTGACTTCAATTGCTAAAATGTGTCATGTCTATAGTGATTTAGTCAGAGTATCCAATGATCTGTTTACTGTGGACCATGGAACATCTCGTCCACAATGGCTGGAGTACTAGAGTTGGCTATTACTCATGTAGTTTACAGAGATGGTTTAGAGTTTAATACGCCATTGTTACACTGAGCAGGGAGTGTGCAGATTTGGCTTTCCAGCTGTTGTGTTAAAAATCTCATAATTCTCTGGCAGTCATTGTCTGCTTAAGAATTCTTAAATGTTTTCATTCAGCTATTTGAAGGACAGAGTCTAGACAACTACGTTTTTGATTTGTGAAGTACAAAAAAAAGACAGGATTAACCCTCCCCTCTCCCCAATACTATTGCTCTTCAGTTTCTTACAAGTCTCCAGTATATTTTAACCAACTGCACACCTGTAACAGGTGCTAAAACAAAACAAAAATAATTTGGGATGTAGTGTTTTTTTTTTTTTTTTCTTTTCTTTGTTTTATCATTATTTATAAAGCACCAACATGGTCTGCGGCATTGTATAACAATTAGAAAATGTTTGCAAATTAGACATTACCATATTTTACTTGATTACATATGATTTCACTATAATAGGACGTTGCTTGAACATTTTTGACCCTTCTGGCTGTGAAGGTGTTAACGGAAAGGTCTTATTCCTGTTAATATGCTGAAGTATAGATAATGATAGCTAACCTGCACAGTGTAATCTGGCAAATATGAGATAAGAATCATTCTCTGTGCAAATAAAAGCAGGTTCTTATCTCTGATAAGTAGCATAGGTATGTGGTTATTTTTTTTTAAAATTTTTTTTTTTGCAATCTTTACAAGTATTCCCATTTACTGTGATTAGAACCCAAAAATGAACCTAGAAATAGGACTTCAGATAGGAATGGTATTTAGCCTTGAAATATTCTTTGTTTTTTAAAGATCCAGATCAGATACAATCTACTGGCGGGTAGAGAAGTTGCGAACCGTCCGCGAACTTCTCGCGAACGGTTCGCCGCGAACTCAGGTCAGCTGACACATCCCGGCCAATCTCCAGCAGACCCTCCTACTTCCTGGACAGCATCCATGTTGAAGGCAGCTTCAACATGGATGCTGTCCAGGAGGTGGGAGGGTCTGCTGGAGATTGGCCGGGATGTGTCAGCTGACCGGAGTTCGCCGCGAACGGTTCGTGGTGAACCGTTCGCGAGAAGTTCGCGGACGGTTCGCGACATCTCTACTGGTGGGTTTAGGATACCACACTGATTGTAACAACTGTTCCAACAACTTAATGACTGACTGATTTTAAGTTTCAAAATATATTCCCGCCTTCCTCCTTTAACTCATTAGGCTAGTGGCAAAGCTGTAATGACCCCTACCACCTCCCTCGCTTTCACCAGTTAAAGTGGAACTGTCACTTTTGAATTTTTCACAAAGATAGAATGTTTCTGAAAAATTCCTAAAGGTCGTGTTGGAATTTTATTGGAATTCCAGCACCATAAAAACATGTACATGAGGCCAAGTAAGGACTGCTTTGTCTTATGTGGGAGACAGTTATTCGTACAATGTGGTGGAGAACAAATTGCCTCTATGTGCTGTTTATTCCCATTCGCCATCACTCGCAGTATTCGCATATTCAGTGCGCAATAGCTGCATATGAAAACCTGGATGAAAATTATTCCAACACCAAGAGGTAAATCTAGTTTCACAATTCTGATTTCAATACATTATAAATCACTGGTTAGTGAATTAACCCCACCTTGTATGGGCCAAGGATAATGATCAACCCACCGCAAACAAAAAAAAATAAAACTTTTCTAGCTGGGTCTCTGATCTGTTCAGGACACTGAATTGAATGTTTTGAGTTATATTTTTACTTATATTCACTTTGTATGTAATGTTTTGTAAGTAAAACATTGCTGCAATATCATAGCTGTAAATAGCAGTTTATTTTTTATTTTTTGTTAAATTAATTTTTTTTGCAATGTTGAGTTCATTGTCCGTTCCAATAGTTGGTATCCTATAATACGTGGTTACATTTTATTGCTTTTTAAATCAGTGCACCTTTTGACATTCTATAATTCCGGTCTGTATGCGATGGATCAGATAAGAGGTTTGCGTATATACCTTTTATATTCAGAGGAACCTGTTGTGAGTCACTATGAGTGATCAACATAAGACTCACAACACAGGGAGGGGTGTGCCTGGGAACAGGAAACCAAAGTCTAAATTACACCGACCTGATCGGGATTACTCCCTTTTTATTGTGAATTGTGGTTCGTTTAGCTTAACCCCTTAAGGACACATGACATGTGTGACATGTCATGATTCCCTTTTATTCTAGTTTGGTCCTTAAGGGGTTAATCATAACGTCAAACCATATCTATAGAACCAGCACCTATGAAAAACCTGTGTTTATTCCCCCCCCCTCTCCCAGCAGAATGAGGGTTTGGATCCTCTTGCACTATAGCAAGTTATGTCTCTATGATTTATGTACTGGTTTCTATATGATGTGGGAAAAATCCATATACATTATTCTTTTTTATGAATTATGTCCTAAAAGTGCTCTTTTTATTTTGTGTGTTTTCTTATAAACTTACCTATTTTCCTGTTTACAGGGTGAACTGCCTCTAAAAGCCATTCGGGTGGTTTCTGATGAAGCTGAAAAGCAAAAGAAGTCCTTCTTAATTGAAGGTAAAGATTATTGACTGACTGTAAAGTTTAATTTTGCTGATGTAGAATTTTATTTGTGTAAATACAGAGGTCACTTTAACTGGTGCCTGTGGGTACCTAAACTCCTTGTATGCTCTGATTTAGGGCAAATGATACAACGTTGTCACTATGGCCACTAGCAAGTTAAATTCCTAGATCCATTGCAGGTTAATTAGCTAAATGACACAAGATTGTAACCGTGCTCTACATCCACAGGAAGGTACATCAATACAATCCGAGTGACCTGCTTCACTCAGTTTGACTTTGAAGAATGGATTGATAACCTGAAACGAGCTCAGCAGCAAAACCGAGACTCGACTCTCTCAGGTTCAAGCAGTTTCGGTGGATCACACTCTGCACAGCATGATCAGGTATGTACTATACTTGTTTCAGATACAGAGTGAAACAATGTAATATCAAGCCAAACAATCCTTTCATTCATTTAATGGGAGATACATTGTACGTTTTATTTTATTTACCTTTTAATAAGCTTGAGAGATCTTCACATCAAGGTCCTCAATCTCCCCCTTACATGAGTAGAAGAGCCTTGTAGCTTGGCATATATTTTAAAGCATTACTCCAAGAACCATGACCACTACAGCTTATTACAGTAACCTGGCTCTCCCCCTTTGTAAGTGGTTAAACCATTTTTAGGAAGGTTGACTTCTTGCCTGGCATCAGCTGGGCCCCACTTGCGGCCTCCACTACATCGGACAGAGAGCTGGAAGCTCTTTGTTTGAGCTATGCTGGTGGCATGGGACTTAACTCATGAAAATTGATTGAAAGCTTCTAAGCAGGAACGTCTGATTCTCCGGCAGATGTAGTGGAGTCCAGCAGCAGTGCCAGGCGGCTCCCATGTAATTAGTCAAACCACTTTAAAACAGTTTGACTACTTACAATGGGGGATGCCAGGGTGTTCATGGCACCATTAGCACTACAGAGAGAGACTTGTGTGGATTTATGATAGTTTGGTCATGGTCTGACCATTTATTTATCTTTATCAACACATGCATAATACATCTCAGAGTGTGTAAATAAAGTGTCCACCCATTTTAAAATTCTAACTTTTACCTCCACAGTTGACTGCAAGCTGTAGGAGCTCTTTCAACTCAGATAGTCGTACAAAATCCTGGGCATCCGCAGGAAAGTTGCCCAACTCAAACCGTCAGTCCCACAGCACCACGCACGGCTCAGACTGGCAGTCGTTTGCTATACTGAATGAACCGCCTCAGGATGATCCACTCTCACCAGGATATGCACAACCTGTCCATGTGAGTACTCAAATTTGTCAACACCCCTATACCACTTAAATTTCGTTCCAAATATTTGTTTTATATCAGAGTACAATAAATTTATGGTTAAATGCATTGGGCGCTTAAATTTCAAAACTGGCTTTGACCCTTTTTCAAGAATTATATGTACAATATATAGAGTGGTAGGGTTTCCTTTGTCATCAGAAATAAAAAATGTAACATTCTTCTTATCTTGCAGTGTATGGCGAATTCTCAACGTTCTGGAACAGGAAGTGGAGAGCTACAAAGAGGGGGCAGCAACCGAGGGTCAAAAGGAAGGCCTAACTTATGTTTGCCCGCACCATCGGCTCTGCCAGCAAGCTATGACTTGGAAACCACTGCATTTGATTTGATTCCTGAGACCCCCAGTGAAGATCTCCTCTCCCCTGTATACAAGGAGCCATATTCATATCAAAGATCCCAAAATCGGTCAGGAAATGAAGACAAAGTAAGTTCTTACATTTTCTATGACGTTTTTTTTTTATTTTTACCCTGGACCTTCAGCATCTTTTAATTGTGGTTGAAGTTCTAACTTTTGTCATCCATTGACTATAAAATATTGTATGTTGATAAAAAAAAAAAAACTACTATTCTAAAATTATTTGTCTCTAGGGAAAGTAAATGTATACCCGTGGAAAGCAATTATATATATATATATCTCTATCTTGAGTGCTAAAATGTGGTCTTGTGTCAGACCAAAACCAAGCGTCTCGACACACACTGAGTAAGATTTATGTAAACTTGTTCTTAGCCAAGCATACAGATCTACACGGCCAACCAACAAAGAACCTCTTTAGATTTATTACAGTGGTTACTGACCAATAATTTTCTGTTTCCTTGACGAACCTGGTGACTCATTCTTTAAGTGAAAAATTAGCTCAGTGACCCATTCTTAAAATGTAATTAACAATAATGTTTGCAGTAATTGTCTGTGAATGTGTGTATTGTCTTGGTTGTTTAAGGGATGCTGTTTAACACCTGTGAAACCCTCTGTTCAGTTAAATAGATGGAGCCTCACCGACAGCCAGCCATCTTCTCCTACTGATTTAAACAGTCACGTTTTGTCAACGTCTCCATTGTACGCCGAACCCTACACTCCGACAGTTCCACCAACAAACAGTTTTGTTGAGGAGGTAAGAGATGCATTCATTCATAAAGATGTTTTCCTATTACACATAACTGTATAAATGACAGTGTAAGCTGGGTGTACTGTACAGATGAACAGTTTCAGTGGGGATACTTTGAAAATATATTTGGGTATCAAAGGGTACATCCATTGTTCATTCACCCACACTATTCTAATGCTGACTTTTTGCTCTCCTTTTTAATCTCCTAGATTTTAAAGAACCTGAACTCATGTCGAAGTGAGGTCTCACATTTAAAGACAAATGGATCATTCCATGGGAATCAGAACACACACCAAGCCCTGCTCAAGAAAAACTCTCAACCTGTGAATGGAAGCCACAAGCTTGTGAAAACAGTGGTACATAGAAACAGTGATACGTCTGTACATGGCAAACTTGCCCCATCTTCACAGCCCTCATATTTCAAAAGTGTAAGTTCCCCATACCCTTGTTGCCTGTTAATTGTATATAAAGTAGAATATGGTGCATTTAACCCCTTAAGGACACATGACGGAAATATTCCGTCATGATTCCCTTTTATTCCAGAGGTTAATGGGTTAAAAGACACTTCCATTGCATGCAGATGTTCCTGACCCTTATCCTACACCAGTTCCCCCTCCTCCCTCCGATTAGTCCAGGATTTAGGGATTACCCGGTTTTGTGTAGTCTAAGTGTTTTTGTTTTTTTGTTGTTTTTGTTCCAGAAATACATCTTGGACTCAACTGGTCAATCTCTAAATTCTGGACAAGGGTTGGAAAGGGCAGCAGGGGGAGGGAACATGAGGACTTGTTTGTGAACTACTGTTCTACATGAAAATAACATGGTGGCAAATAGGCATCTTTTCAGATACAGAGTATTTGCAAAATTAGTAGAAAGTGCATAGATAACATTTTATTTGGAGATTCTCTCATTATACTTGTGTTCTGTTAAATTACAGAAATTTAATTTTTGAATGATATGATCTGCAGTAGACTTGTGCACAAATCCTTTTCACCTGCGAGAAACGAGTACAATTTCTGTTAATCTACACCTGAACAAATTGATCCGTCGCGTAAATCCCAGACGGATCAATTTGTTCAGACGCAGACTCGCTTGAATTTTAATTCGTTTGTTGCAGGTGGTAAAGATTTGTGCAAAAGTCAGCAATGTAATTTGGATATTTTTGGTTTTTACAAAGTTACAGAACCTTTTAAAGCAAATCCATGTGATGTAAAGATTAAATTCTATATCTATGCATCGTCATCTGATAGAACCACTTTAACCTGCCATCGGTCTGTACACTACTCAGCAGATTATTCTCCTGTAATAACGCTCCACTATGTGTAATGCATAGGTCAGTTTAAAGTTTCTTTATTAATTATTTTAGTATTGTTAGGGCTCAAGTATTTTATCAAAGACAAAAAAGAATGGGTTTGCCTAAACCTGGTCTGGAAGTGTTTAAATCTTTCTAATTTGTATATTAATAGCACTAAATATGTTTTTTTGTTTTTTTTTCCCCAGGTATCCGCTCTGAAGGAAGAACTTGCCATGTCTCATCGCAACACCGAAGGTAATCTTCCTTTAGTGTAGATGTATTATTATTATTATTATTATTATTATTAATTAGATTCTAACAGTTACCGGATTTTAAGAGCATTTGCAATTCCACGTTTTAAGTTTTAAATTCATGCTAAGCATTGACAAAATGTCCATTTATATATGCTTGCTGTATATAAAACCCAGCTATTTGCTGAAATGTCTTTAAAGGGAAATTATTGAACTCCTTACACCAAACAAATTTAGATACTTTTTTATTTATTTATTTATTTTTGCTAGACAGCAACCAATATTAGTCACTGTTTTTAGTCTGTTGATTGTCATCATGGAAAAAGCAGGAGTTCAGTTGTCTTTCTGGTCTCCTTCTGTTTTTTTTTTTGGGTTTTTTTTGTGGTTTATTTATTTTTTATTTTTTTTAAATAAAGTTGATTTTTTTTTTTTTTGCTGTATAGTGGAGTGGCAAATTAAACTAAGCCCCAAGGCAGAAACAATCTCTGCCCTCAAATCAGAAGCCCTTCTCCATCCCTTGCATATATAAAGAAATGGTACTGCTTGCTGATATTGCGTATATGTTTACAAGCCCCTTACCTTTGTTGCATTTTCACCCCTACAGTTGAAGACATGTTTGATTTGCCCTCATCTGGAAGCCTGTATCCCGAATCTCTGGATCACGATTACGCAGAGCTGCAGAGTTTTCAGAGTGACCGCAGTTATGACAATATTTGGGACTATGAAGCCAAGGAGAAAGACCTAAATCAGTTCCCTCCTCCTCCTTACTTGGGTAACAATCACACTGGATGGCAGCAGAAAAAGACTGTTCCCAGCAGCTGGTTATAAGTGGGACCTTTGGTAGAACTAAACAACGTATCTGGTGCGAAGAAATGTGAAGCTAAACTGGTTTATCTCACGGGTGGACGTTTGAGCTGAAAGTACTGTTGCAGAGTATGACCAAGGCATAATTTCTTCCCTGCCAGATGGGCTGATTCGATGATTACTGCACTGTTCGCTCGGGGTATATTTGAAGCAGTCGTTTTATGACAAATCATTGAGATCTTGCAATAGTAACTTATAGTATAAATTTCTGCTTAGCGAACAACGGCTACTTCACTCACTCCAGTGATTACTTTTTTTTTTGGTTATTGTTTGTATATTGCTAAATATGAAAGTATTAAATTGATAAAATACATCAATTTCTGTTATTTAGCCATGTTGGTGCCAAAGGGTTGCACAGTTCATTGAAATGGTTACTACCATACTGCCAAGCTGACCACGAATATTCAAACTGCCTTCTTCACTTTGGTGTTGTAATTGTGCGTTTGTCTTTAACACCGGAACACAGCAGTTTGGATTTTATTTTTTTGTGCAACATGTGCTTTTTCATACACTGCCCTGTATCATTGCCTGACTCACAGGCGTCGCTCCTATTTTCCTTGAGTGCTGGTCCTTCTAGGATGCAACACTCCCTTGTTTTTCTAGAAAAACCACAATCCCCAAAACAAACACTTCTTTGCCAACAGAAATACAGCCCTACCTAATGGCCAATGACTGCTGTGGATATTTGGAGTTGGACTGCAAGTTCTTTTTTTTTCTTTCTTTCTTTTTTCTATTTTATAGATTGTGGTTACTAAATTGGTTCAAATCACAGATCATTAATAGGACACAGAGATGCTCGTTTTAATTTAGTTTTTAAGTATACCAACACTTTTAGGGTCACCTACTTCCTGCCTCTATAACTTCTCATGTTTACTCCTCCAATGTTTTGGGGTGTGGCTTTCTTCTTCGATGATGTTTGTGATAGTTTTATGGTTCTTTTACATCTGAAAAACGGTTATTGTAAAATATATTTAATTATTTGGTTTATTATTTAGGCGTAAAGACCTAATTTTTTTTTTTTTATATATATACTGGTTTAAAGGGTCGTATTGTAAGCCTATTTAATATTCTGTTAATATTTATTAAGAACATATTTTGTTTTGCACTGTAAGAACTGTACAGAATTTTGTATCAATTCTAATTTTTGTAAGAATTAAGGTTTTATTTTAGTTTTTTATGAAGAAGTGTTCAAATGATAACTTGAAAAATTAAAATCTCTTCTTTCCAAATTTGTGTTTATTTCAACATTAACTTTTACGTTGTGTATGTTTGGGATGGTTTTAGGCTTCCCATACTAAATTTCTATAAAATAGTGGTCAATGCGCAAGAGTACAGCACCGATGTGGCTCCTTGCAGCTAAAACTCAAGAAGCCGAAGAGGACCGTCATCGTAAAGATGGCAGCAGCCGTGGGGCTAGTTGGAGGTATGGCAGTCAACGGATCCGTTCCTTTCGGGAGTCTTCGTGAAATATGCAAATTTCATAAATTGCAATTGACAGATCCACTTTAAGGAGGAGCTTGGTTTTACACAAAATGCCTGCTCCTTAGTGACTGCAGAGTTCCACTGAAGTAACGACACTATGTAGAAGGTCATTCTGTGCTGGTATAAGGTTTATATCAGGGGTTCTAAATGTTAGTCCTCAGGACCCCCTACCAGTCCAGGGTTTAGGGATTACCTGGGTGTGTCTAAGGTGTTTAGAAAAAAAAAAAACCCTTAGAGTCAAAGGGTTTTTTTCCCCCCTTTTTCTAAACACCTTAGACACACCCAGGTAATCCCCAAATCCTGGACTGGTAGGGGGTCCCGAGGACTGGGTTGAGAACCCCTGGTTTATATGGACGGATTTATGACTTCCTAGAATGCCGATGGTCCTGGATACATGATGCAAATCATGGTTTATAATCCTTTTAGTTCTCTTAAATTTTTATGGAATATTTCTTTAGAATCAAAAACTTCTATCCCTTACATCAAAAAATTCCATTTCAATGAATGAGCCTGCAAATTGCAAATTCACTATGGTCATATAAACCTATAGACCAAAGTAGCTGAAGTGGAAATAAATTCTGATGACTAGTGAATTTATAATCGTATGTATTGATAAATTTAGCGAACCTAGTGGATTTGATAATTCATGGTTTTGTTTGCCATTGTTCACATACAAATTGAAATATTATGTAATCAATGTTTTTTACTTTAATTTGGCAATACAATTTTCACATTATTTTGAGTCTGTGTTGTCCTTTAACTTTGCAATGTAATTCATGGATGACACAGTGAGATTTAAAAATATAAAAATTACTTAATATGCAGCGCTCAAAAAACCCCCAATAATAATAAAAAAAAAGCTTTCGTTAAAGATCAAACAAACAAAAAAGCAGCATTGCACCCAAATTGGTAAATACGAATTGGCACTGAGAAAGCTCTGGAATAGAGTGAAACATGTTGGGGGATTTCAAACACTCATTCTAGATTGAACTCTATGTATTTGCAACTCTACATTGTTCTCCTCCAAATACCAGTGATCGAAGAGGCTGGACCCACCACCTCGAGGGAGCTTATTATTATATGCATTACAACTTTGAAACCGTGTAAGATTTTGATTCAAATAAATGTTACTTTATATATTTGTAAGAACTATTTGACCCTTCCTCCTTTATATCTTTGGGGTATGGGTATGCTCTGCCTTTTAAGAAGAGGGGTAACAAAGGACTTTTATTGATTAATTATTGGAAATTATACAATTTAAACATTTTGAATAGATTCATATATACCCTTTTTTGAAGAGCTAACCTAATATAGAAAGATCAGACTGGAGGTACTGCAAACTACTCTCTAATAGGCAAATTTTTTGAAGAGCACTTTGAATATAGTTTAATGGTTAACAGGCTGAAATTCTATTCCTGGTGCCAGAAAAATCACATCCTTGCTAATATGACAAAAACCAAATCTTCTGAAATAATCTGAAAGCTTTTAATGTGGGAATTGAGTAAATAAACAGAGCATTTAATAGCTTGTTTGTGTTCAGAGCCCTACCTAAAACTCTAAAAAGGCGAAATCCCTACCTACACAAGCCACGCTCTGATTGTTTGTTTTCGTGTATTAAAAGAGCCCTACCTGTGATTCTTAGAGGTGGAATCACTTCCTGCACATGCTGATCTCTAATTAACTTGTTTGTGTTCCGGTATCCATGTATAAAAGGGCCTGCCCTGTGATTCTTTGGGGTGGAATCTGTAATATCAACATCCGTAGTTCTTAATCCTTTAAAAACCCGTGTCCTATCTTATTGGGCCCATTGATTGGTGCAGGCTCAGAATTTCCATCCAGGCCCTAGGCAATGGCTCACAAGTGATTATTTATAGCAGCATCATTGTTTTTTCTGACCAATTGGCACATTTAAAAACATTACGCTCACCCAAATGACTTCATCTTAATGAAGTGGTCATGGTGCAGTGATCCTGCCATTTTAACCCTGCAGTGTCAAACCGTGTAGTTTTTCAGAAGTAATCCTCCTGACCGCCATTACAGGTGCTTCCTCCTTCATACAGAGTAATACTCGGTTTGGGAATTGATAGCAACATTTCATTGTAGGAGTGCATTGTTTGGCTGTGCATGCCCAGTTCCAGTCCATTGCTTCTCTACGAGCTTGGATGCTGACCTCACCGGAGGAGGAGCTGAAGGTGCAGCAGAGAGGTCCTGGTGCGGAAAACTAGGGGTGCGGATTTTATTTTACTTACTATTACACCACAAAGAGTGGTGGACAGCAGGGAACCGATAGTCCTGAAGTAAGGATTATATTCAGGACTGTAGGCTCCCTTGAACAATGAGAGGAGTCAAAAAGTTTATATCTCTACACTACTAGCCAGGCCTCAAAAGTTGCTCACTACTGCAAGCCTAGAGGGTCTATGGCACATAGGTGAATTTCTACTTGCCAGACCTAAATTCTCACTTGCTAGTGGCAAGTGGAATTATTGAGCCCTGTAATAAAAATAAATAAGACATGCTGCTAATTTTGTGTTACTGGATTACTGTTGATGTGTCAGGACTGATTCCGAGCTCATAAACCAAAGTCAGATAGCACCGTAACAGGCAAATATATCTTGCAGATAGGGGGCTAGGAGCACACACACCTACATTTAGGGCTAGTCAGGGATGTATTTACCACAAGGCATTTGCCTAGGGTGGCACTTTTCGGGGGGAGGAGGGGTGCCAAAAAATGCCACCCCAAGCTCCCAGACAAATGCCTTGTTTGTCTCGTGTTCTGGGGCTGTCCACCTTATTGTGAGTGAGTGAGTGAGTGTAGCGTCAGTGTGTGTCTGTGAGTGAGGGAAAGTGTATGTGTCTTTCAGTGAGAATGGGTGTGCCTGTGAGTTTGTGTCAGTGTGTGTGTATGTCATTTTATGTGTATCTGAGAGTGTGTGTCTGTCAGTGAAAGTGTGTGTTGGTTAAACAGTGAGTGTATATTAGTGAATGTATCAATGAGGGCATGTGTCTGTCAGTCAAAAAAAGTGGCCTTGACATGAATTGCGGGGGCAAATTTAGATTTTGGGGGTTCCTGAATTTAGTTGTGCCTAGGGCAGCACAAATCTAAAATACACAACTGGGGCTAGTGAATTTCACCTGTGCTGTATGCAATCACATTACCTATTCCTCTCCTGGGAATAAGATGTATTTTTATGAAATTTAGTATGTGTTTTTAAAAAGGTTTTTTATAAAAATAATTAGCCAGTTATACGTGTATTAAAATAAACATTTTCTCACATATAGTTTTTCTGTAAATAATTCATTAAGGTTTGGAAAAATGCACCCAGTCTGGAATAGGGGTCAGGCAATCTCGTCTGGAGATGTATACATATAGCTTCAGCATTGCATAGTGTAAAGTTACAGAAAAAAAAATAACGTTTTACTTCTTGTAATTTTCAATTTTTTTTATTTTCACTTTGCATTCACCACGTTGGGTTTATTCACTAAATACTAAATTGTAACGAATGCAAAAGCAAACGGCAAATGTGAGGCTAAAATAGCTAAACAAATTGGATATTTTTTTTTTACACAGCACTATTTGGCTAAATGTTGCAGTTTTGAATATTTAATCTTTATTTGGTATTTTTTTAAATAAATCCCTGTACATCGTGCCAATTTCTATTTATTTATCACCCTGTGTGACTGTTTATTTTCCCCATAAACTGTGTGATTTGCTTTGCTCTAGTGACAGACAAGGCATTAGTTGCTTATCACAATTCTTCAAGATAAACCTTTGGCATGTTTATGTAGTGGAATTGGAAGAGAAAAAAAAACCCACACTCTCTCTCTCTCTCATAAAATTAACGCTGCTAAGTCTATAAGATGGGGATGTTGCCTGTAATAAATTGTGTATTTAATTGTTTAGCAATTCAGATTATAAGATGTGTTTTCTCAGAAGGCATGTTTTATGTGTTTCCGGATTCCTAAATAGTTTGCAAGAAAAATGTTTTACCTAGAAAAAGAACAAAGTACATTATTCCAAGGGTCAGCCTAGGTAAAGTAGACAGCCACTTGGTGAGCTTGCCATTTTGTGGTGGTATTTTTGCACTGCCATTTTCAGAGCAGTCTTAACCATAAGGCAATCCTAAGTGACTGTGTAGGTCCCAGGGGTTAGACAGGGACACCAAAACAAAGCAGTCTGCTTGACACCATTAACCATTCCTATGCAAAGCCTAAAGGGAGGCCAAACTGGTATCCTGCCTAGGAACCCGTGGAATCTTTAAGGAACATTTTTCTTCCCCTTTTTGTAGGCAAGTCCTTCCCTGTGCAAAAAAGAAAAGATTTATTATTATTGGTCTTTATATAGCGCCAACTAATTCCGCAGCACTTGACAATATTATGAAAGGAGGAGACAATTTACTCACCTTGTTCCTGTCATGCTGCCAGCCACCAGAGGAGGACTCTGCCCTGCAAAGCTAACAGTTTCTCAAAAGCTGCATTGTTTGACATTGCAGGGTCAAAGGGACAGGGACACTGCTCCTAGACTACTGCAATGAGATGAAGTGGTCTGGGAGACTATAGGGTCCCTTTAAACCTTCTGTGTTTCTGAGAGTAGGGAGTGGGGCTACCGGATGAACTTGTGCATTTGTGTGTGTAAGAAATAACTCTGGTCCTGATTATTGGGAAAGCAAGGTGGACTCTGTAACCCTTTATCTGATATTTGCAATTTCCACATGCGACTCATCGTTTCAAATGTCACTGTCCTGTAATTTTCTACATCACACACAGATCACAACGTGAAGTGAATAAACTATTAAAGAAATAGCCCACCAGACACTTTCACTATTTACTCATTTTTCAGCTCATCTTTGGTACTTGATCCCATATTTAATAGTGGTTCTAGCAGATCAGTTTTTCTCAGAACATGTATGTGCACATTTCACCTCCATATCGACAGGCACGGGTATCATCTCAAAATGATACTTCAACAGAAATGCTGTCACTTACCTGGTTACCTGTAGATGCTGTCAGACCTACTGTATTGGGCATTGAGCACATCCAATGGCATGGGAGAACATGCATTAAACTTCCTGATTTGGAACAGACAAAAATGGTTTATTGGCCAGGGTTGGGTGCCTGGGTAGCTGTGCAATATTCGTTTTTGTGTGGTTTGTGGGGAATTTGGTTTGTCATTTTATAGAGAAGTATTAAAGATTAAAAAAAAAAATATTGGGCTTTAGTATACATATAGTCTGTATAAACCATGGGTCGTCAACCTGGTTCCTACCGTCCACTCGTGGGCGTTTCAGGATTCCAGGTGGGCAGTAGGGATTTTCTAATTTTGAGAGACCGGGCGGGTGTGAGCCGGCGGTACCCCTGCGACCGGGTACCGCCATCACCACTTGTGGCCCCGGCCCGTGCAGCGAACTGCCGGGCCGCATATGGAGGGGTCTATCGGGTGGCCCATGCTGTCAGGACCACCCAATGGATGTGGATTGTGAGGGGGCCCGGTCAGCGCTAGGCGCTTTAACAGCGCGACCGGGCCCCCTGTGATTACATCACAGAGCTGGGAGGAAGTGACTGTACGTCACTCCTCCCAGCTAACACACAGACCGCGCGGGAGGAAGGAGGAGGGAGTCAGAGTGGGAACTCTGACTCCCATCCACCTGAGCCACCACTGGACCCCAGGGAAAGTCACCCTCCTACACCTAAAAGGTAGGAAACCGGAAGGTGACTAAAATATTTTGTGTGTGTTTGTTTGTGTGTGTGTGTCTTTGTATGTATGTCTTGTGTGTTTCTGTCTGTATGTATGTGTCTGTATGTGTGTGTATGTATGTGTGTCTTTGTATGTGTCTTGTGTGTCTGTCTGTATATATGTGTGTGTGTGTGTCTGTCTGTATATATATGTGTATGTATGTGTGTCTTGTCTTTGTATGTATGTGTTGTGTGTGTATGTGTCTTTGTATGTATGTCTTGTGTGTGTCTGTATGTATGTGTGTCTTTGTATGTGTCTTGTGTGTGTGTGTGTCTGTCTGTATATGTGTGTGTGTGTGTCTTGTCTTTGTATGTATGTGTTGTGTGTGTATGTGTCTTTGTATGTATGTCTTGTGTGTGTCTGTATGTATGTGTGTCTTTGTATGTGTCTTGTGTGTGTGTGTGTGTGTCTGTCTATATATATGTGTGTATGTATGTGTGCCTTGTCTTTGTATGTATGTGTTGTGTGTGTGTCTTTGTATGTATGTTTTGTGTGTGTCTGTATGTATATGTGTCTTGTGTGTGTGTCTGTATATATGTGTGTATGTATGTGTGTCTTGTGTCTGTCTGTATGTGTGTATGTGTCTTTGTATGTATGTCTTATGTGTGTGTCTGTGTGTGTCTGTATGTATGTGTCGTGTGTGTGTGTGTCTGTATGTGTGCCTGTCTGTGGGTCTGTATGTATGTGTGTGCCTGTCTGTCTGTATGTATGTGTGTCTTGTGTGTGTGTCTGTATGTATGTATGTATGTATGTATGTATGTGTGCCTGTCTGTTATAGTGGGCTATAGTAAGTAATAGTAAGTGGGATACCTAGCTCAGCCTTCCTACTGGGCATTTCTGTAAGGAAGGTTTTAAAAAAAAGGTGGGGAGGGGAATTGAGGAGGGAGAGGAGGGGAGCTGACGCACAGATGAGAAATTATATTATCCGCAAACAGAGAAGTCATCTGAATACCACCGAAAGAGGAGACCTTCGTTTGTTCCTTACGAAAATCAAACCAGATATCAAATATTTAGTCTTGCAGCATCAACCTCAAGGATCTCATTAATCACTAGTAAAGGTAATTTAAATTTACTTTATTGTTTTCTCATTAAACTTTATAAAGTTAAAAACATTATAAATATGCATTAAGTAGAAATAAAAAGATAAATGTACGTACATTTATTTTAAAAAAAACACCCTCTTTTCGAAAAAATATTCTGCACTTGCGTGAAAACTGGTGGGCGGTATGGACATTTTTTCAACCAAAAAGATGCATTAGTGGGCCGTAGGTAGAAAAAGGTTGACTACCACTGGTTTAAACAATGTGATCTTAAAGGAACGTTGGAAATACAAATCTGTTTTTTTAACGTTATCGTGTTCCTGTCCCTAGGAGTATTAGGTGTCCCTCCTCCATTTGGCATAGAAAGGGTTACTCACCATGATCCAGCGCCAAGATCTCTCCTACCCTGGCGATGTTGCGGAGAAGGATGAACCAATCATCATAATGGTGCACAGGGGACTCAATGCCACATGCGCATACCAACTTTCCCAAAGGAAAGAAGTCTGTTAATGCTTTCTCATGGGACCACGTTTTACAGGGTTGAGGGGACAATGACACTTCACCCAGGCCACATCACTGAGATGAAGTGGCCTGCGAGACTATAGTGTCCCTTTAACCTTAAAACATATGTAAATATGCAATACCTTGAGGGAAAAAAAACAGGAACAGTTTACACCATGTTCCAAATTATTATGCAAATTACATTTTTCTCATTTACCTAAATAATTGATGTAAATAAAAGTCAGCATAATTCTCATGTTATCAACTATTAAGAGTACAATTCAAATTTTATTGAACAAACCTCCTAATGATAACAGCATTTTTTTAAACATAAAAAACTTACAATGCACTGTTCCAAATTATTACGCACAGTAAGTTTTAAAACACTTTATAGGTTGTAAAGAACTGAAATTGTCATTTGTTGTGTTTGTAGCATATTTACTGAAATCAAAAGCTATTTAAATCAAACTTATAACAACATTTTAACAGGTCACATTGCATTTTAACATAGGACCCCTTATTTGATAGCAGCTTCACAAGTCTTGCATCCATCGAACTTGTGAGTTTTGGGACAGTTTCTGCTTGAATTTGTTTGCAAAATGTCAGAATAGCCTCCCAGAGCTGCTGTTTGGATGTAAACTGCCTCCCACCCTCATAGATCTTTTGCTTGAGGATGCTCCAAAGGTTCTCAGTAAGATTGAGGTCAGGGAAGCCATTGATGCATAGGTATTCTTTGCAGCATGAGATGGTGCATTGTCATGCATGAAGATGATTTTATTACGGAAAGCATAGTTCTTCCTTCTGTACCGGGGAAGAAAGTGGTCAGTCAGAAAATCCACATACTTTGCAGAGGTCATCTTTACAACTTTGGGGACATTAAAGGGGCCGACCAGCTCTCTTCCCATGATTCCGTCCCAAAACATGACTCCACCACCGCCTTGCTGACGTCGCAGCCTTGTTGGAACAGGGTGGCTGTCCACCAACCATCCACTACTCCATCCATCTACCATCCAGGGTTGCACGGCACTCATCAGTGAACAGGACTGTTTGAAAATTAGTCTTCATGTATTTTTCTGCCCAATGCAGCCGTTTCTGCTTGAGTGCATTGGTTAGTGGTGGCGAATTGAAGGTTTTTGCACAGTTGCAAGACTCTGGAGGACTCTACACCTTGATGTCCGTGGGACTCCAGAGCCACCAGCAGCTTCAAATATCTGTTTGCTGCTATGTAATGGTATTTTAGCAGCTGCTTTCTTGATCCGATGCATGGATCTGGCAGAAATCTTCCTCAATGTGCCTTTATCTGCACGAACCAGTCTGTGCTCTGAATCAGCCACAAATCTCTTAATAGTGTGATGATCACGCTTAAGTTTTCATGAAATATCTAATGTTTTCATACCTCGTCCAAGTCATTGAACTATTTCACTCTTTTCGGCAGCAGAGAGATCCTTTTTCTTCCCCATATTGCATGAAAATGGTGCTCTGCTTAAAGGACCACTATAGTGCCAGGAAAACATACTTGTTTTCCTGGCACTATAGTGCCCTGAGGGTGCCCCCACCCTCAGGGTCCCCCTCCCGCCCGGCTCTGGAAGGAGGAAAGGGGTAAAAACGTACCTTTTTCCAGCGCTGGGCCGGGAGCTCTCTGCCTCCTCTCCTCCTCCGATCCGCCCCGTCGGCTGAATGCGCACGCGCGGCAAGAGCTGCACGCGCATTCAGCCGGTCGCATAGGAAAGCATTCATAATGCTTTCCTATGGACGCTTGCGTGC